GTGTTTGGTTTTTTTTTGCCCGGCCAGGCGTGGCTCGGCGGTTGAGCATCGACTTACGATCCAGGCGATCAGGGTTCGATTCCTGGTCAGGGCAAATGCCTGGATTGGGGGCTCAATCCCCAGTCGGGGGTGTGCAGGAGGCGGCCGATCAGTGACTCTCTCATCATTGATGTTTCTATCTCTCTATCCCTCTCCTTTCCTCTCTCTGAAGTCAATAAAGATATAAAAAAATAAAAGGTTTTTTTTGTTAATCCTCACCCGAGGATATTTTTCCATTGATTTTTTAGAGAAAGGGGAAAGAGGGAGGGGGGAGAGAGAGAGAGAAACATCCATGTGAGAGAGACATATTGATTGGTTCCCTCCCTCTCGAGCCTGGATGAGACCCGGGGATCGAACCTGCAACCCAGGCACATGCCCTTGACCGGAAATTGAAACTTTGGCAACTTTGGTGCAAGGGCTGATGCTCTAACCACTGAGCAACACCAGCCAGGGCCATTTCCTTTTATTTTTATAATTTTTTTAAATCCTTACCCAAGTATATGTTTATTGATTTTAGAGAGAGAGGATGGGAGAGAAGGAAAGAGAAAGAGGAGCGGAGAGAGAGAGACATTGATGTGAAAGAGAAACATGGACTGGCCACTTCCCATAAGTGACCCGACTGGGAATGAACCTGAAACCTAGGCATATGCCCTTACCGAAAATCGAACCCTCAGCCTTTTGGTGTACAGGATGACGCTCCAACCAAGTGAACCACACTGGCCAGGGACATTTCCTTTTATTCTCATATGACTCACCTTGTTGCAAGATTTTAACATTATTTTCAACCTTTCCCTTATCCAATTGAATAGGTAAAATATTCACAATTGATTTAGAAAGTACGTAAGGATGGATATAGTCTCCCTCCTATTTGGTTCTCTAGCTCTCCAGTTCTTAGTAGAAGAAAACAATTCACTTTTTTTTAAAAAATAATTTCTAAGAACTCTTTTTGTTCTCCAGTTCTTTTTATAGCACTTTCTTCATCCTTTCGAATTTTGAGAATTACAGCTTCACCCCTGAAGTTTTAAAAAGCTCCCTGTCATTGCTTCCTTGGTCGCAATTTTGTTTTAGCCTCTGCTTTCTATGTCAGAAGTTTCCTCAAATGTTTGATGGCCCTTGGCAGTCTACTGACATTTAAGAGAGATCTGAAAAAGCTGATTGGAAGCTATGGCTGAGGCTTATTAACAGGCTTCAACATAGGGTGATCAAGTTGGGGGAAAATGCCTTTTTTTACCCGAGGAAACAAAAAAAATATTTTTAGGCCTTTTTCTGCAGTGTTTAGTTTGTTTTCGCTCGGAGATATAAATCGGTGTGTGCTGATGTTCAGAGCCTTAACACTCATACTTTCACTAAATCCTTCAATTTCAATTTAGCCCCTCCCCCCCCATTTCTATACTATCTGTTGTTGAATCCAGAGGCTCTAGTAATTTACGTTTTCCCCGAGGTTCTGAAATTTCATGGGGCTATTTCATTCATTATGCTGGTCACTCATGGGCTATTAGTTTAGAAACTCATGACCTTTGGGCTTAGGAAACCTTTGTATTTCTTTGATAATTTCCTCCCCACCATTTTTCCAAAGACTGAATCTCCCATTTCTTCTTTTTTAAAATATATTTTTATTGACTTCAAAGAGAGAGGAAGGGAGAGGGAGAGGGAGAGAGAGAAACATCAATGATCAGTCATTGATCCGACGCCTCCTGCACTCCCCCTGCTGGGGATCAAGCCTGCGACCTGGGCATGTGACCTGACTGGGAATTGACCCTCTATGTCCTGGATCATAGGTCCATGCTCCACCTCTGAGCCACGCTGCCCAGGCTGAATCTCCCATTTCTTGTATGGGAGAAATAGAGATAAATCACCTGGCTGGATCACATGATGGGGACCTAGAGGGCTTTTTCTTACACAGGTTTTTGTGATTCCTCTCTACACCATTCTGTTCTCAGCCCCAATCTTTACCCCTTTCCATGAAGCCTTTTCTGGGTTCAGAAGGGCACATTGGCTTGCTTTTTGTTAATAACCCCGAGGAGGTAGAACCCATCTCAGTCTGTTCTAAGTTAACTTTCACTCATTTATTTTTCATTTTGCAAAATGTTGATGTCTCATTTATTGCCACCTAGTTTCCCTTCTGAGTCATGTGCCTTTTTATTATTACTATTATTATTTTTGTTAATCCTCACCTGAGGATATTTTTTCCATTGATTTTTAGAGAGAATGGGAGGGAGGAAGGGGGAGAGAAACATCGATGTGAGAGACACATCGATTGGTTGCCTCCTGTACACGCCCCAACCTGGGGCTGGGGATTGAACCTGCAACCCAGGTACGTGCCCTTGACAGCTCTAACCACTGCGCAACTGGCCAGGGCATCATGTGCTTTTAAAGAATCCCTTAGAGGCATTTCAACAGGGTTTTGGAGAGAGTAAAAAGTCCATGTGTTTGGCAAGATCAAATGAACACCTTTTGCCATCGCCTAGCTGCCTGCACCTGTCCTTCAGGGAGATGGGGGTCATTAAAGGAAACTGAACATTCGAAAAAAAAAAAAGTCCCATGTGTCTAATTTGCCATATTTAAATGGCATTGCTTTTAATGTTCCCTTCTACCATTTTCTATTTAGGCCACTCAAGTGTCACAATCTTGCAAGCCTTCCCCAATCACTGCAACTGGAAGGAATCTGTTCCTCCTAAAAAGTTCTATAGGCCACTCTAATCTCTGCCACTTACTAGGTACAAATCAGAGGTGCCCTATAATTTGTATTTAACTGATCCTATTGGGTCCATGACATGACCTTCATATGTTCTCTAGGCACTAGATCCTATATCTGACAAAGCAGAAACTGAGATGATTTACTGAATAAGAAATCAACTTTCACTCTCATTTATTTTTCATTTTGCAAAATGTCGATGTCTCATTTATTGCCACCTAGTTTCCCTTCTGAGTCATGTGCCTTTTTATTATTATTATTTTTGTTAATCCTCACCTGAGGATATTTTTTCCGTTGATTTTTAGAGAGAATGGGAGAAAGGGGGAGAGAAACATCGGTGTGAGAGACACATTGATTGGTTGTTTCCTGTACATGCCCCAACCTGGGCCAGCCTGTTTTTTCCTCTTTAGAAATACTCAGTAATGCCCCTTCACACCTCTTGAGTACAGCTCAGTTTCCTCCTCTTCAGCTAATTCCGTTCCATCTAACTGAAATGAAGGGAGGCAACCTTTTTTTTTTAAAATCCTCACCCAAGGATATTTTTCCCATTGCTTTTCAGAGAGGGTGAAAGGGAGAAAGAGAAGAAACATCGATGTGAGAGACACATAGATTGGTTGCCTCCCGCATGTGCCCCAACTGGGGCCAGGTGTCGAGCCTGCAACCGAGGTATGTGCCCTTGACTGGAATCGAAACTGGGATCTTTCAGTCCATGGGCTGACAATCTAACCACTGAGACAAACTGGGTAGGGTGGGAGGCAACCGTTTTACCTGTAATTTCCAGGAGGGCCACTTGTTACCAGTAACATTTGCCACAATTTAAGTGTCAATAGTTATATGAGGGCAACAAAGAGCTCAAAATGATGAGATAGAAGGGCACATGATTGAGGTTAAAGGAGACAGTACAGCAGTGACAAACTCCAGTTCAAGTCCAGTAACAAATCCTGGCTCTTCCAGTTACAGGACCTCTCTGAACTTAAGGCTCATCTGAAAATGGGGATAAGGCTACATCACAGGGCTGAGGTGAAAGGTTAACTAAAGTAACACATGAAAAGTTTTTAGCAAAATGCCTATTATATAGTAAACACTCTCAATATTAGGGGAAAACCTATTTTGCAAGATCTTCCTGTTTTCAAGATACCCATGCTGGCTTGGGGTTATATTAGCCTCTGTGGGCAATTTCCCTTCACTTAGACACTAAATCTGCTGAAGCAGAAAGAATTTTAGATTATGAGGCTCAAATCCTTAGCTTTAGCCCTCAAGAGTAAAGAGACCTTGAGCAAATTTCCTTACGATGAAGCGTAGCCCAGCTCCCCTGACAGTAGTACTGGATCAACTGGACAAAGCATGAGGGACTGGCAGGTGGTTAATGGACTCTACACATGCTTGGCATCATCACTCTCTGGCAGAAAAGAGCTTGGACTGGGACGCTCTCTGGAAACAGGCTCAGGCATACTACTCAAGGACCACAGAGGCTAGAAAAGAAACTAGGTCCTCCATAACCCTTGAGCCATGGAAACGGTCAATTATCAAGGCACCACAGTACCACCTAGTGGCCATAAACCCGTTTTCACCCGCTCCCCCAGGTATTAAGGAAAGGCTATTTGTCATGTCAAAGGTTCAGAACTCTTTGGTCACCTACTTCAATAGCTGATCAGTCAGAGTTGGATAGAAACCAAATATATTCATTTTCTCTTTTTTAATATTAACAAATACAAGCAACAGAGAGGGCCAGCTGCTCTCTGCTGTTTCCTGAGGGAAAGCCAAAGCACAAAGCTGTGCCTCTGGCCTTCCTCTAAATATAGGGCTTGCTTAGCTCCTCCTTAGGCAGAGCTTTGTTCTAGCCCAATTTCCCTCATCCCAACTCTCCAGTCAGGATGTGAGGCACATGGCTGCTGGCAGTGGGAAGAATATTGTAGTTCATGCCTCTGCTCCTTTAAGTATCAGTCAGTTTGGTGGTCACTTATATTCTGAAACTAGCCTCTCACTTGCCCTGGCCCAGAGGCCAGGAGGGCCTTCAACCACCCCCACAGGAGCAGGCAGTGTGACTTCAGTCATCTTCAGATGACTCCTCTTCTGCCTCTTGTAACCACTGGATGAACCTCTGCAGCTGTAAAAAAGCATAGTGGAGAGCTACTGAGGGAGGAGCACATAACCCTCCTATTCTCCTTAGTGTATAAACAGCCTGAACAACCAGAGTCCGAGGAACCAACCACCCTAAGGGCCAGGTACCCAGACAACCACCATGGCAAGAGGGTAGCCTGACTCACCTGGTGGTTCTTGCGCAACTGCCGGCCCTTGTCAGTTATATCCTTTTGGTTGTACCAGCTCAGGATTGTTTCCTCAGCCAGGATCTCCAGCTGGTAAAAAGCCATCAGTACCTGCAGAAGGCCAGCAGAGATCTCAGAGACCATGCAAAGTCCAGCAAGATATAATGGATAATAGAGGAAGAGGAGGCAAGATCTTAGCACCTCTCTAGCAGGTCCTCAGCTTCCTTCTACACACTGAACAGCCTCCTTCAAAACAGACAAGAGTAAACTGTTCATTGTGATACTGGGACAGATATAACTTCTGGAACTACTGCTAGGTAGTGCTTTGCAAATTCCCAGGGCAACTTCCAAATGGCTGCCTTTCTAGCCTGGCTCCAAGCTGTACTATCTCAGCAATGAGCACAATACCAGGGGTGGATGGTGCTGCTAACCAAACTCCATATCGGATTCATGTCAGTCTCTGTTTTGTGTCTCCATGGAGGTCACCATGGCCTGTTTCAAAGCAAATGCAGAACTGTGAGGCTTGAGGTGGTATTCACCTTGGCCATGGAAGTACCAAGAGCTTCATGCTCCAGGAAGAAGTCCTCAATGGCTGCCAGTGCCTCCAAATGATCAGCTGCACGCTTTATGTAGTTCCTATAAACAGGGCTCCAGGCCTTGAGCAGCTATGGAAGAAAGAAGGGAGCTGCAATATATGCCTGAGCATGTACTTATACCTGAACAGCAAAGAAAATCAATATTGATTACATGCATCTTTTATGATGTGGGAAGACAAGAAGGAGATGATATAGGCCCTGTGGAATCATGTTAGAGGGACTTAGGAATTGCTAGCAGTCAGGGTTGAGGAAAAAGAGGTTCCCCAGGGAAGGTGAAAGGGGGTCAGATATGCAGGCGGCCTCAAAAATACCTATTCCCAGCCTATAGGTTGATCTCATTGTGGGTCAAATAATTTACAGTCAGAAAGTCTGAAAGTACAGGTCTATGCTGGTATGGTCTGAATCTTGGAGTCTCAAAGCCACTCAGTATTGAACCTAATTTGACTGTGGACCTCTGGAACAGCCAAGGCTGCTCTAGAATCCAATCTGCTTCCAGAGGCGAGGAGAAAGGAACCACAAGTAATATAATATTCTACAACAAGACCCTCTACTCCTGATTTATTTTAAAATCACCACAGCAAGGATGTGTATCTACCTCCACCCAATCCATTGTACCCAGCCCCAATCTTTGCTCACGGGAAGCAGGAGGGCACAGTAGCGGTTTGGGTCCAGAGGGGAATCCATTTGTTGCAGGGGGAACTCCAGGACCACGTGGCTCAGTACCTGCATCACTTCCTTTAGGCTTATGTTGTAGGCGTACCTGCGGGGAGACTGTGGTGACACCAAGGCCTTCATTGGCCGTTTCAGCATGCTGTAGGGCTGACTTTGGCAGGACATTGGGAAGAGGAAGTCAGATGGAACAACATAGAAGGATTTTGGAAAGAGGAATCTATGTTGGGGCTAAAACCTAATAGTCTCCTTGCTCCAAATGCTACTGGCTTTGTCCATTTGGGATGTCAAGAAAACAGGTTCCTATGTGGGGAAGAAACAGGAGAACCTCTATCTGCCTGGGATTACCCAGGTGAAGAAAATAGGAAGGGGCTGCTCTTACTTGAGAGAGTTGATCTCTAGGACTAGATTGTCACAAGAAATGTTCTCCTCCTTGCCCCGCTGTAGTGTTCCCAGGACTTCATTCTGGAACACTAAAATCAAAGCAAGAATAAGTTCGTGGGCCAACATCACTATGGAATGTGTTAAGTCATCTAGTCCTGACTTTATACCAAACCCTTCCTGGGAGGAACACAAGTTTTTGGCTAGTTGATCCAGATAAAGAATAAGCTGGAGGTTTTCCTCTATTGTCCCAAGATACTGCTTCCCTGGCTACTCACCTTTGATGTCATCCATCTGTGGGGAGCCTGCCCGGCTATCTATCTCCTCTGAATCCATACTTCGCTCACTTTCAGTTTCACTCTCTTCTTCCGTGTTGATTATGAGTCCTGAGAACACACAAAGGGTGAGAAAAGAGAAAAATAAGGACAGAGCCATTCACAAGAAATCACATATATGCCCTGTCCGCATGAATAAAGCAATGACCAAGCACTGTCTGATTCTTAAGTGTTCATTCTCCTTCAAAACGTTCTGATTTAGAAAGCGTGTGTGTGTGCGCGCGCACGTGTGAAAGGAATAGGCCTAGCTCACCCCACAAATTTTGCCGTAGTTCCTCCCCTTCTTCCATGTTCATGTCTGCAGGTTTCCAGAGGTAGCCCTGCCCTGCAACTCCGACTTCTTTTGGATTATAACCTGGAAAGATACTGATCTTTAGCAAAGGCCCAGTAGAAGTACCCATCCCTCCAGGAGGAAACACTGGCTTTTCCATGGGGCAGAGAAACACACAGATGCCCCACACCTGCTGAGCCTCACACCTTTCAGCTTCATTTTCTCCTTTTCTTGGTCAGCCCCAGAATCATCACTGAACTGGCTATCATCCTCATCTTCCTCTGCATCTGGAGGGTGCAAAGAGATCACCGAGCCCTCAGGCAGTATGATGTCTGGGCCCACTACCACCTAGAGGAGAAAGAAGGAGTGGGTGGCACAGATCCATTAGTGTGTTGGGGAAAAGTACATCCTGATACTGAGAGTGAATTTTTTTTTTTTTACTAAGCCAAGTAGAAGGCAAATGAAACCACTGAATTTGGACTCTCAATTCAGGCTGGATAGTTGGACATAGGCCCCTTCTGGCTCAGCATGACCACCACTCAGTTTGGGGCCTGTATGCAGTGTGGAGCCAGTTCTCACCTGGGAAGTGAGGACACAGTGTGGGTTCAGTGTAACTTGTTTCTTGACCTCAGCATTGTCACAAAGCAGGGACTGATAGATCTGTGCTCCAGCAGCCACTCGAACACCCTGCCACAGGTAGGCCTGGTCCAGTATCACATTATCACCTGGCTCAGGACAGGAAGGACTCCTGGTCACTCTGGGCTCCAACTCCAGACCAGGGCCATTCCTGGAAAACATGGCTGACTGATACCAGCACAGCTCCCACCCAGCTCAAATACTCCATCCCCCAACTCCCCAGAAACACCCACTTCCCCTCTAAACCCAGGCCTGAGAGTAGAACATTGCTTAGCCTGACCATCTTCTACAAGATTTACAATTAGACTATGACACAGGACTTAAGAACCTGAGAACCTTCAAATTTCTGGGGACCCCTAGAACTCAAGAACCTCATTAGATTCATGTCCATATCTATTCCATCTCTTCTTGTACATTTAGAATTACAATCTTATTATTTTAAAGGGGCAGTTCCATTTAAAGCACCACACTCCTACATCCAAAGTGAGTCACCAAGAGGCTAACCAGGCAGTATGGAAGAGTAAAACGAACACTAGACTTATCAGAATACTCAGATTCAAGCCCTAGTACTGCCTCTTGCTAGCTATGACCTTGAGTGAGAAAACCTCTTTGAGCCTTACCTATAAACTGGGGATAAGTAACACTACCTCACAAGGTTTTAACGATGATTAAATGAAATAATCTAGGCAAAAGGTCTTTGTAAGCTATAATGCACAGATGTTATTATCGCTTGTTACTTATCCACTTGGTCCTGAAATATGAATATAGGGTACCCTGGAATATGAAGAATCACCCAATAAGAAGCTCACAGGGCACAAATTAAAGCATCACTGTTTTTACATCTCTGTTCCCTTCTTTATTAAGGTAGCCACTTTAGTTCCTTTTTCTCAAGGACTATTCCTCTGTCTCCTTCTCTAGAGACATGGCTCCCCTCAGGTTCCTATTCCTAGGATTGCTGGCTTGACTTCCCCCACCTGTGCTCACCAATGTGACAGCCAGGGCCAATGACACTGTTGGTGATGAAGCAATTGCTGCCAATGACAGTGCCAGAGCCCAGGAGTACATTTTCCTCCAGGATGCTGCCATGGCCCAGGCTGACCTCAGGCCCTCGGTAGATGTTGTGCCGGGAATGAGTGCAGTTCTGGGCTGTGTTGTCAGTGAAGTTTGCCTCTGGGGTGAGAGGGTAGACCCATCGGCGGATGACATCAGCGCAGACAGCTGCATACATGTGTAGGTTGGAGACCCGGGCACCATATTCCCTAGTTGTCACATGCATGTGGATCTGGTTCCCTAGAATCTGAATGAGGACAAGGAAAGGGAGGTTGCCCAAGCAAGAGAGAAAGAACAACCCTAGGTACAACACTTTTCTTACCTTCCTAAGTTCCCTTCTGCCTCTCAATGTCACAAATGGCCTGAGATTTTTCTTTGTATACTGCTTCCCCCCTACCCCAGCTATTTTCCTCCCTACTAAGGCTCAATAAAACAGAAAAGGGGACCAAAAGTTATCTACATGAGGTAAAATCTTAGACCTCTTTTATTATTTTGCTTTTTAAAAAAAATTATTGATTGATCTGAGAGAAAGAAAGAGAAACATCAATCTGCTGTTCCACCCATCCATGCATTCACTGGTTGACTCCTGCATGTGCTCCGACCAGGGATTGAACCTGCAACCTTGGCATATCAGGAGGACACTCCAACCAACTGAGCTACCCAGCCAGGACTTAGCCCTCTTTTAAAGAGGCACTAGGAGCCTGTTCTTACCTCCTCATTCACTAACAGGCCTCGCACAAAGTCGTCCCGAGTTTGGTAGTCAAAGTTGTCTGTGAAGAGTTGAGCCACCTATGGGAGGAAGTTGGATGGGACCAAGGTTAAGTGCTATTCTCTGGAAGCAAAGATAAGTTCTCAGAGATTTATCAGACCCTATGACAGCAGGACAGGGAGCAGAATCCCAAAAAGGCTCCCAATATTGAGGTTAAGATGACAGCAACTACTTACTGTAGAACAGGAGAAAGAGGAAGAAGAAATACAACTCTGACCTGCTAGGGGACAGTAACACACCCTCAGAGTTCTACTTGTTGATGTGCAGCCCTGGCCCTGAAGGGCTCACCTGAGGAGAGCAGATGCTGATATGACAATCCAGTAAATCATAGCGAATCTCCACTCCATCTCCACTGCCCTGGAACAAGCTCTGTGGGGAGAAATTATAAGGACTTTAACCCATCTCTCTTGCTCAATCCTGTCACTTTCCACCTCAAAAACCCCAGATACCCACACACCAGAGGAAAAGAAAAACGTCGAAGGCCTTGGGTCTTCTGAAAATGGAGAACCCGGTTTGTGGCACTATCCATAGCCACTACCACATTGTCCTCACGGCAACGAGTTGGGTGACTGGGGGATGACTCTTTGAAGATCATTGTCATCACAGATACATTTTTTTCTAGCTTTCGCCTCAACCTACAAAGGATAGGAGGGAGAGGGTCTTAGGGCTCTGCTGGTCCCACACCGTTGTCCCTACCATTTTCCCATCCTGACCTGTGCTCCTCCAAGGCTCTGGTAATATTGATGTTTGAGATGACATCCCCATATACCAGAAGGAAGTCAGAGCGCACCAAGGCCTTGGCATCAACATCACGGAGAACATCCCCCAGGGATCGATATAGCTCTGACGTAATTATTCGAACTACATTGAGGGACGTAGGGCGGCACCACTTTGACTTCCTAAAGGAAGGGGGGTGAGGGAAATGAATAAATCAAGCATAAAGATCATGAAGAACTTCCCTGTTTTTCTCCCCAATTAACATTCACACTCCTCCTCTATGGCTTTTCTGGGTTTCTGCCAGCGTCCTCAACTTCAAAGAGACTTATAATTAATGGTTTCAGCATCCTGTGTTACCAGGCTTGCTTTATGGGTTAGAGAAACATGGTTATTTCCTCTCTATAGCCTGACCCCTGTTCCCAAACATGGATTTGAATTCAAAATCCAGCTGAGATATACAAAGTTTCCTAGGAACACACTTTTCATGCCACTTTTCTCTTTCCAAAATCCAGAACAAAGTTAGGAATCGTCTAGTGGAGACCATGTTACTATCCAAGTCTATTGCCTAAGCTTCCACAAATCCTGACATTTACTCTTTTTCAAGATGTCACCAAACATCTGTTAAGTGCTTATTATGTACTTGGTACTAAGCTAAGCATTGGGAATACAAAGAAGAGGAACAGCTAAATATTTAGAAGCTCAGTTAAAAAAACAAACATGTTACTCTTATAACTTCCACATTGGAGCCATTAAGTAAAAAGCAAAACCCACTGGGACCAAACTTTATATGTGAGATTCAGAAAAACCCCAAATGTTATTCTTTAATCTTTGTCAGTTTCAGATGCTCACCTCCTGATAAGTGAATACCCTTAGACCTTATGATGAGATTTACATAGACATATTTTTCCTCTTATTTAGTTACATTCATCTTTAGAAAACTAGAAAAAAAATGGTGAAACGTGTAAAGAAAAGTTGCAGGGCCTTACAGTATATGTTCCTTGATTTGAGCAGCCTTCCAGCAACAAAACACAAAGGTTTCCTGTACACCTGTGGCAGTGAGAAATTCCAAAGTGTAGTCAATTAGTGCTACGTTGGCCAGCGGCAAGAGGACCTGGAGGGTAGAAGATGAAAAAAATGTGAAGTTTTGAATCTGGCCCTCTGTGTAACTTTCTTTCCCACACTACAACCACAATTTTCACTCCTATCAATGTTTCCAAATGCTATAGTTCTGTTTTATCTTTCCAACTTAAAAGTAATCAGGCTTCTGCCTTTCATGTTCACAGCATGCGCCAAGCATTAGAGTCTAAGGTGTTGCAACTTGGATATAGTAAGCATAGAATTAACTTGCTTAGCATCAGACACAGAGCTGTTATAGAATAGGAGACCACCTCTGGCAAAGGAGGATACTGGAAATCAATCATATCTCCAGAAACTTAAGCACCGCTAAGGCCTTTTCCCCATAAAATTTCCTTCCTTGATCCTTTTCTGAGAGTCAGGGGCTAACCAACCTCAATCACCTGTCCAAAATGAACAGCCATTAGGCTTTTTGTTGGGAATGAGGAGTTAGAATTTTCCCTGAACAGAATGCAGTTCCTTCTCTTTGAACTTGGGATGGCCCAGTGACCCAGCAATCTCTAGGACTAGGTCATAGCTCAGTCAAACTGTCCAGTGTCTATACCAGTGATTTTCAACCGGTGTGCCACAAGAAATTTTAAAACATGCAAATACTGGACTATTTAGTTGGGGGCACTGACCACTTTTCCCTTAGATTGTCAAATAAAAAATGACAACAGCCACACAACAACAGACATCCAATGTGAATGAATGAAAATTATGCCTATTTTTTTGTCAGATTGGCAAAAAAATATTTTTTTTGGTGTGCCGAAGAACTTTAGTAATTAGTTTATGTGTGCCATGAGATGAAAAAGGCTGAAAATCTCTGATCTAGACCAGACAGAGGCTGCTGGCAACCAGCCACTGAACCTGTTCTGTTCTCCTTTAGCCAGATGGCACTGGCTGTCATTAAAACCTGGAAGGAAAAAAAAGCACGTTGTACCAAGATCCAAAATAGCTGTTACTATGGGATCAGACCAGTCTGCTCTTTTTTAGGCATATGACCTCCCCTTTGGAGGCAAAAGGAGGTGATATTCCCTTTCACCTAAGGATCTCTTTTTTTCTCCGCATAAAGGCCTTGCAGCCTCCTCATGAGGCGTTGAATCCCCCCGTGAAGGTTTCTCAAAAAGCACTGCTTCTACAATTTAGCCCTCTGCATGCCCCCCAAACCTGAGTTAGCACTCCCAAATCTGCCAGTCACTCACTTGGTCAGGCTTTAGACAGTCTGTCTGCCTTCCTCCTAACTAGATAAACCCGATTTCAGGGAAAGAGGTTGGACACATGTCCTCCCAGAGCACGCATCCCTAGGCAGACGAGAGGATAACTAGCTCCAGCACCGCCACTCAGGGCCCTCTGGCTGCTCTCCGCACGGCGCTCACCCGAGGCTGGTCCTTGGAGATAGGAAAGAAGCGGCGGTCGAAGCTATCCGCCACCAGAACTGCTTGCAGGGGCGGTGGCGGTTCCTCCTCCGCCCTTCGGGCGCCGCCACCGCCGCCACCG